GCTCGGCCGGGCTGGGTACGGCAGGTGCGCCAGCGCCGGCCAGTATGGAATCCGCCAGAGCCAGGTTGTGGAGCTCCGCCTGTGAGTCACCAGAATACCCGCGCGGGGCGGTGGGTGACGTGCTATTTTGCGGGCCATGCCGAGGATCCCATGCAGCAGGAATGGCGCGGCCGGCGGCAACCAAGGCGGGCGGGGCTCCTCGGCGCAGGGGGAGGGGCTGGGGCGGTGCGGTGCGGTGGCGCTGTGAGGAGTAGCCTCGTTGCTCGCTGCGCCGCCGCGGCCCCCTCACCTGGGCTCCGCTCTCGGAGCAGTCAGACTGGCGGTCGCTGGGGCCCTCGTCCTCCTGAGTCAGGCCCGTGGCCGCAGACCTGTGGGGGCGGGCGGGGGCAGGCGCGGCGGAGGCAGAAGAGGCCCCCGATAGTGGGAAGGGTGAGGGCTGTCATCAAAGGCCGCGTTGAGGTTGAATTGCAACGGTGCCAGGCTCAGCCCTCCGCCATGCCGAAATAAGAACACCGTAGGGTCGCGTGAGGCGCACCCTGTCACGCGTACATGAAGCCATCGGCGCCCTCACCCCATGCTCAAATGCCATTGCCCCCAACCCCACCCTGGGCCCACCAACCCCTGCTCTGCCCTGTGCCTCCCCCGGCCCGCCCCACACCCTGTGCCCCCCGCCCCACACCCTGTGTCCCGTGTTCCTCACCCAGAGTTGCTGCGCGGGGAACCGCCCGGCGTCACCATCTGCCATTCCTCCTCGTCGGCCGCACTCGGGCCGCCGCCGGCCTTTGTTCCGCAGGAGCGCGACAGCACTGGGTCGGGGACGGCCGGGGCGGCAGGGGCGGCCGCATCGGCGGCCGCGGCTGCAGGGGCAGACGGAGTGGGCAGGGGCCCGCAATCCTGGTCCACCTGTAGGAGAGGGCGCGAGGATGCGGTTGCCGCAGTGCGTGTGCAGGGGAGGCGTGAGGGGCCGTTGCAGAGGGTACAGCGCCGCTGTGGCCGACACCGCTGCTGCTGCTGCTGCTGCTGCTGCTGCTGCTGGCGGCTGCTGCTGGTGCCCATGCGCAAAAGCGCAACGCAGTGGCTGCAGCCTGCACGCGCATGCACCACGGGCTGGTGGGCGTTGGTGCGCGGGGTCGCATTGGACGCACCGCGACAATGGCGGCATCGTGTCCAGCCTCCATGCCGGGTTCACTAGCGAGTGAAGTGCCTGTGCTTGACGTACTGCGAGGTTGGTGCCGGGCGGCGTGCGAAGGGACCGCCTCATCAGCATGCATGCCGGTGTGCCTCCCGCTGCTTCAGCGAAGATGTAGCGCGACGTATGTTGCTAGAGTGGAACGTGCAGAGGCTCCGAGGAGGCTCCCCTTCCCAATTAGGTGAGCGTTGAGCCCAGCACGTCCTGTGCCACAGCGCGCCTGGACACTAGGCCTCACATAGCTGCACAAATCGTTGAACATTGCTGATGCGAGCAATAACAGACACCCGCGCACCTGTAAAAGGCAGGGTTGGGAGCCAATGTGCCCAGATCAGGGACTGTCTTGTATTTCGTAGAGAAATCGTCAGCTCCAGTAACCATAAACACTTCGTACAGAGTGGGGTGGCGTGCTGCAATTGTCTGAAGTTGCGAGGGGTCTGGTTGGCTCCAATTCTTGAATGATTGAATTCTCTGGGGTGCACCGAGCCCGCGAGGGAAACAATGGGATGAGTTTCGAGCATAACTTATATGAAATTCCGTCTGGTGAAGTTTGAGCCTTGGTAGCCGCCATCATAGGGGTGTATCGACCAGTCCAGGTCGTCAGTGAAAGTGCGTTTTGGCAGGACCAGGCCGGGCGGCGGCTATCCTAACCGCCATATCTTGATCAATTCACAGAAAAGCGGGAATATACACTATGCCGGTCTGTGCTTGACTTCGGCACGGCAGAGCAGCCGGAGCCATGGAGCCAATGGCTGTGTCGATGGCTGCTGGTGTGCTAGCCGAGCGGCACCCAGGCAAGCCCAGCCACCCAGGCCCGAATTCTATGGTCTTCAATCACCATGGAGTCTCTCGCCAGTATAGTTTGAAGGCACTGCATACATGTGATACAAAACCAGCGGCGTGCAGACCATATCCAGGCCTGGAGAAAAGTGCAAACAGTCATTGCAGGAACCCTCCATCACGCAGCAACTCGCAGTGCTGCTACACATGTTGCAGGCATACAGCACTCCCAGCCGTCCCTGGACATACGGCCGACGGTGCAGGTAGCCTTCGTCAGGCCTTGCTGTGATGATTTCTCCGTGCTGCCCGCATTTGGCTGGTCACAACTTACAGCTGCATAAATCCCCACGGTTAATTGTGGACAGCCATGTTCCACGATTGCAGGGACCCCATTGACAATGCAAGCTGCCGTCGGACAAGCGGGACATTGACATGTTACACTCTGCAATGCACGAAGACAGCGTGCAGGTACGCGTGCCGATGCAGCCACCATTTGTTGTATTTGTGGCACTTCTGGCCACTGATTTTCAAGGGTGAAGGACATGAGCACAAGCTGGCGCAGCATTGCACGGAGCCAAGGACTTGAGACTGCACAGGCCATCAGGCTACAGGATGTTGCGCGTGCCTGCTGCCCAATGCCACTTGCAGTCAACTCTGCAACACCACATGCTTGACAATCGTGTTCAAAAAAGGGCAGCAGACAGCGCAGCCTCCCCGTCAGGACGAGCGCCAGTCATGCGCTCTGGCGGCCAGACGTCCATGCAGCCCCATGCGTGCATCAAGCCATCAAAATCCGTATCGATATAATGCTCTGGAAAATGAATACCTGACAAGTTACGACGTGGCGACCGCAGGCTTGGCGACTGGCAGCCACACCTCATTGTGGCGGTTGGTCAGCCTGAAAGGCGAGTCCTGGGGACGGGGGCAAGGTGATGGCGTGGTGCAAAGGGCAGAGTCAGCCAGAAAGGGGACCACACCAAAGCTGCATGATCAACTGCAGCTCTTCGGCGCCCTGTGCCGGCGCCCATCCATGCCCTGCGTAACGCTGACTCCCCTGCTGACCCCTTTTGTGACCCCTCTGCGCCAACGCTCACATGGGCCACGCAAAGCACTCCTTTGCAAGCCAGACTCCTGCTGCCGCCCCCAATCATGACGGCGCCTCAGAACCGGAGCTGCCCAGCGACAGACGTCACCCACACCACCTCCGACCCCCCAAAGCTCACGTATCCAGCAGTGTAAAAGAAGGAAGAGTCCACTGCAAAGCCCCCGTCCTCCAGGGTGGCGGACGCGTCCTTGGCGTGTCCCAGCCATGTGCTGCCCTTGGCCCAGCCGCCGAAGGACGCAACGTACACATCCAGGGCGGCGCGCTGCTCGATGAACACCAGCTCGTCAGACGGCTCGGGAGGGGACGCCTGTGGGGGTGCCAAGTTGCAGTGTGCGCGCGCGCATGTGTGTGTGTGTAAGTGTGTGTGTGTGTGTGTGTGTGTGTGTGTGTGTGAATTTCAGGGCAGAGAGATTACACAAGCATACGATGAGGGGTCGAAAGGGGGTGGATGATCGTTGTGATGCAAGAAGCGTCAAAGCGCAGGGCGGGCGAGGGGTGTGCGTGCAAGGGCGCGAGGGCAAGGACCACGAGGCAACGGCGCAGCTTGAGGCCGCAGCTTATCGGTTACTGGCCCTGCCGCTCAGTTGGCCCTGCCGCACAGTGGGCGCCGGCGACGCTGGCCGTGGCTGCAACGCGCCTGGTGCTCGAACGGGATGAAGAATGAGATGGTGAAGGAGTCCTTGCAGGCGGGGCCCTGGCCTGGCAGGACCTTGACGGTGACTGGGGCGGTCATCTCGACCTTGGCAGCGTCCTTGTTGTTGCCTGGGGCAGTGCCGGGGTTGTGAGGCAGTCAGGTGCGGCGGCTCAAAAGCTGCGCGACAGTGTGGGAGCAGATAGCAGAGCTCGACCGCCCCGTTCCGCCCCTTGTTTGAGCGGACGCAGGGTCAAGATTCGAACAAGCAGGTGGGGCAGCTGGCGTTTTGTGATGGCGTGGGAGCTGCGCAGCCCCGATGCAACGCCCCCGGCCCCTACCGCTGATGTACTTGAACAGCCGCCAGAAGCCCGTGGCCACGCTGGCGTCGTAGCTCTTGCCTTCGACGGTGGTGGTCACCCACTTGGCTGGAGGTGTCCAATGAAGATAAGAGAATGAAAGGGGCAGAGCGGCTTGGTTTGAGCGAGCTGAGGAGACTTGAAGTGTGACTGTGCGCGAGCACAAGTTCAATGCGCAGCAGGCCCAAGGTGCTGGCAGGGCTGGGTCCACAAGTCTTGAGCACCCTGCCGCTTGGGGGCCCGGCACGCGTGCCTGAAGGGTAGGTCCTGTGCTCGATACCGATGTCCGTCAGATTTTCGACCAGCTTGTACTTGGGACATTCAAGGTCGTGGCAGAACCAGGGCGCATCGCCGACCGCACCACCAGATGCCACCTCAAGCGGGCGCGCCACCGTGCCGGCCACCAGGGCTAGCAGACACGCCACGGCCAAGACAGCTGACGCGCGCATCATGTCGGGGTTGTTGAAGCAGGAGGTCTTGGAAGCGACCTGCGTGGATACCCTAGAAGCGGATCTGAAACTCGGGATCAACAAGCCTGAGGACTTGTGAGGCGGCTGGAGCGAGATAGTGAGAAAAGTGAATACTGCGGCTGTGCTGCGCCACTCTGATTCAAGACGGGAGCAGCTTCAGCAGTTTCGTTGACATCGTCACCCGCACGTTGCCAACCTGGCAATTCACACGTCCAGTATAACGGTACACAGACGGTCACATGCGCATGCGCGGTGTATTTTCTTTCGGTTTTGCCGATACCATCAGTCCAGATCGCTGCCATTTGATCGCATCGTGTGTCACATTAGGTTGTATGTTTAGCGGGTAACAACTAGTAGCAAAGCGAGTTTCTCGAGGCCAAGTTGACTAGTGATCGGCTGGACGCGCGACAGTAGCCACGGCGGAGGGGCGGGGGCGAAGCAATCAGGACGGCAGAGCGGCAAACAGCTACTGTGTGCCTGAAGTGCGCAGTGCCTCGCCGCCCTTGGCGCGCACCTCGACGCCTTTGAAGGAACAATGACGCTGTTCACGCTGATGCAGGTATAACCGCGTGTCCTGGGAATTGCAACGCATGCTGCCCGGCAGCAGCGGGTTGTGCACAGACAGCAGCAGCGCTTTGCAACGGCGCATGCCTGTGCTGTCCGCCCCATGCCTGTGATGGCGCCTCATGCTGCTACTCAGGGCAACATCCACGTCTGCCACCAGCTGCTTGTTTCTCGCCTATGTGTTTGCGGCCAGGCAGCTGCTCAATCGCCGCATGCCGCAGAACCATGGTGCTGTGCTCCTGCCCCTGACCTGCAGCCGAAACACGTTGCAACCCTCCGTCGCCACCCCACAGTCCATCTTGATGTTGGTGAACGGCGTGGCCATTTTGAACAATGACCGTTTCTTGGAGAAATGTGAGTGGCAGTAGAGCTCTGATTTTGCATATAACTTGCACCTGGTCCCCAGCCTGCCATCCCTGGTGTGATGGCAGCAGGGCCTCTCACGTCTCACTCTACCACTCTCATATCATTCCCGCCTGCAGACGGATGGGGCTACTCCCAGATGCAGTCCACCAATTCACTGAAAATGTCAATTATAGGAGGCTTGCACGCCGCAACCTACTTCAGAGGTAAGCATGGGCCGCACATGGCTCGTGCGGCACCCCAGGGAGTGGCCACCCATCAGTACCCAGGGCCCTCCTCTCACCTCCCCCTGTCATACCTTTGCACCTTAGCCGTTTTTAAATACGCCTGTCCTCTCACCCCGTGTTGATGCCTCGCACCTTCCGCTGCCAACCCCCAGCGTTCCTGCTACCTGTCAACGCCCTTGTCATCATCATCAAGCTGCTGGCCGGCTGAAAGCGCATGAGGCTTGACGCATGTGACTGTGGCTGCTGTGCTGCACCCATCTGTTACAACACTTTGCGCTCAGTGCTATTGGTGGAGTTGCATGATTCTATGCCTACTTTGATTGCTTACTGGTCTCTCAATGTGTAAATCTTTGGTGCCAGCAATTAGATAGATGAGCTCATCGTGCATCAAAGATAATACGGGAACGTGAGAACAGGTTTGTGCTTTATTAGCTATGGCTGGCAAGCGCATACAGCAGGCCGTTAACGGATTATGGGAGAGGAGAGCAGAATGCGGCCATGACGGTCAATGGTGACCAGCCGATCACTGCCGTGCGTTGCATCGCTTGCGGTGCAACAGACAGTAGGAAGCCTATCAAGCTCCGCACCTGCCTGAGAACTTCTGCAATGGACAGGGTTGGCCTCTGCAGGCCTGGGCCGGGCACGATGGTGCCGCACTGCTGCACGTCTTGATGCCTATTCCTTTAGCTTCGTGTGCTGCGACCCGTTGGCGACCGGATTCTGCCAACTGGCATAGCCACCAAGCGGAGGTGGCGCCGCGCTGCCGCCACCGCCCAGCTGCGACAGCGGCCCGCCGCTGCTGACTCGCGCTGCAGGCCCGCCGCCTGTGCTCGTGCGAGCCGCAAGTCCGCCGCCCAAGTAGCCGCCGCCAGCCCCGACGGTGGTGCCACTACCAGCCATGCCGCCGCCCAAATAGCTGGGCTGCAGGCTGCCGCTGCCATAGCCCCCAAGGCCACCTGCCCCGCCCCCACC